TCTCCTTTCCGTTGACCTCCTGACCTCCCCTGACCTCCCCTGACCCTCAGATGCGGCAGCCCGGCAGCCAGCGTGACCCAGGGGCATTGTCGCGAAACGTGCTCGGGTTTCTTCCTGTACAACGTCGTCATGATCATCATCAAGGCCTTCCTGTCGGTGGGGACCATCGGCGGGATACTCATCAACTTGAGGTGGGTTTCGAGTATTCGCGAGTACCTTAGAACTCTGTGTATACTCGGTATAGGGTGAAATTGGAGTGTTCACGAGTAGCCGGTAACTTTGTGTATAATTTTCAGTTTGAGGGCATTTCTGGGCATTCATGAGTGGTTGGGGAGATTCCGCTGAGTCACCCACATGATGCATGGCTGAGGTGGACAAATATTTAGCAGTAATGTTCCTCCCCTAATGCATCAAACCGACTCTCTCTCTGTCTCTGCCACTCTCTCTCTCTCTCTCTCTCTCTCTCTCTCTCTCTCTCTCTCTCTCTCTCTCTCTCTCTCTCTCTCTCTCTCTCTCTCTCTTTCTCTCTTTCTCTCTCTCTTTCTCTCTTTCTCTCTTTCTCTCCCTTCTCTCTCTTCCCTCTCCTCTCTCTCTCTCCCTTCTCTCTCTTCCCCCTCCCTCCTCTCTCTCTCTCTCTCTCCCTTCTCTCTCTCTCTCTCCCTCCTCTCTCTCTCCCTCCCTTCTCTCTCTTCCCCCTCCCTCCTCTCTGTCTCTCTCTCTTCTCTCTCTTCCCCCTCCCTCCTCTCTCTCTCTCTCTCTCTCCTAAGAATAAAAAAAATAATAATAATAATGATTTTTCTCTCAACAAGATGACCGTTGTTTCCTACCATCCCTCATCTCACTTTATCATAATTATTCCCCTGTTCCTCATTGCCCTTTTCCCGCAGATGCGTCGCCGAAGAGGACAAGCCGCTCGCGCTGGGTCTGAAGGCGACGATGTTGGCTCTGGCCGTCATGGCGAACCCTCTGGTCTTCGGGTCTCTGGTCGACTCCGCTTGCCTGGTCTGGGAGGAAGTCTGCGGGGAGAAAGGGTCGTGCTGGGTCTACAGCAGTGATGATTTCAGGTTGGTGGGAGAGGTGGGGGTGGGGGTGGATGAGGTGGGGGTGGGAGAGGTGGAAGAGGTGGGGGTGGGAGAGGTGGATGAGGTGGGGGTGGGAGAGGTGGAAGAGGTGGGGGTGGGAGAGGGGGAAGAGGTGGGGGGTGGGAGAGGCGGGGGTGGGAGAGGTGGGGGTGGGAGATGTGGGGGTGGGAGAGGTGGAAGAGGTGAGGGTGGGAGAGGTGGGAGAGGCGGGGGTGGGAGAGGTGGGAGAGGCGGGGGTGGGAGAGGTGGAAGAGGTGGGGGTGGGAGAGGTGGAAGAGGTGGGGGTGGGAGAGGTGGAAGAGGTGGGGGTGGGAGAGGTGGAAGAGGTGAGGGTGGGAGAGGTGGGAGAGGCGGGGGTGGGAGAGGTGGGGGTGGGGGTGGGAGAGGTGGAAGAGGTGGGGGTGGATGAGGTGGGGGTGGGAGAGGTGGAAGAGGTGGGGGTGGGAGAGGTGGAAGAGGTGGGGGTGGATGAGGTGGGGGTGGGAGAGGTGGAAGAGGTGAGGGTGGGAGAGGTGGGAGAGGCGGGGGTGGGAGAGGTGGGGGTGGGGGTGGGAGAGGTGGAAGAGGTGGGGGTGGGAGAGGTGGAAGAGGTGGGGGTGGGAGAGGTGGAAGAGGTGGGGGTGGGAGAGGTGGGGGTGGGAGAGGTGGAAGAGGTGGGGGTGGATGAGGTGGGGGTGGGAGAGGTGGAAGAGGTGGGGGTGGATGAGGTGGGGGTGGGAGAGGTGGAAGAGGTGGGGTGGGAGAGGTGGAAGAGGTGGGGGTGGATGAGGTGGGGGTGGGAGAGGTGGAAGAGGTGGGGGTGGGAGAGGTGGAAGAGGTGGGGGTGGATGAGGTGGGGGTGGGAGAGGTGGATGAGGTGGGGGTGGGAGAGGTGGAAGAGGTGGGGGTGGATGAGGTGTGGGTGGGAGAGGTGGAAGAGGTGGGGGTGGATGAGGTGGGGGTGGGAGAGGTGGAAGAGGTGGGGGTGGATGAGGTGGGGATGGGAGAGGTGGAAGAGGTGGGGGTGGGAGAGGTGGGGGTGGATGAGGTGGGGGTGGGAGAGGTGGAAGAGGTGGGGGTGGGAGAGGTGGAAGAGGTGGGGGTGGATGAGGTGGGGGTGGGAGAGGTGGATGAGGTGGGGGTGGGAGAGGTGGAAGAGGTGGGGGTGGATGAGGTGGGGGTGGGAGAGGTGGGAGAGGTGGAAGAGGTGGGGTTGGATGAGGTGGGGATGGATGAGGTGGGGGTGGAAGAGGTGGAAGAGGTGGGGGTGGATGAGGTGGGGGTGGGAGAGGTGGATGAGGTGGGGGTGGGAGAGGTGGAAGAGGTGGGGGTGGATGAGGTGGGGGTGGGAGAGGTGGATGAGGTGGGGGTGGGAGAGGTGTAAGAGGTGGGGGTGGATGAGGTGGGGGTGGGAGAGGTGGGAGAGGTGGAAGAGGTGGGGGTGGATGAGGTGGGGGTGGGAGAGGTGGAAGAGGTGGGGGTGGATGAGGTGGGGGTGGGAGAGATGGAAGAGGTGGGGGTGGGAGAGGTGGAAGAGGTGGGGGTGGGAGAGGTGGAAGAGGTGGGGGTGGATGAGGTGGGGGTGGGAGAGGTGGAAGAGGTGGGGGTGGGAGAGGTGGAAGAGGTGGGGGTGGGAGAGGTGGATGAGGTGGGGGTGGGAGAGGTGGGGGTGGGAGAGGTGGAAGAGGTGGGGGTGGGAGAGGTGGAAGAGGTGGGGGTGGATGAGGTAGGGGTGGATGAGGTGGGAGAGGTGGAAGAGGTGGGGGTGGGAGAGGTGGAAGAGGTGGATGAGGTGGGGGTGGGAGAGGTGGAAGAGGTGGGGTGGATGAGGTGGGGGTGGGAGAGGTGGAAGAGGTGGGGGTGGATGAGGTGGGGGTGGGAGAGGTGGATGAGGTGGGGGTGGGAGAGGTGGATGAGGTGGGGGTGGGAGAGGTGGAAGAGTTGGGGGTGGATGAGATGGGGGTGGGAGAGGTGGAAGAGGTGGGGGTGGGAGAGGTGGGGGTGGATGAGGTGGAAGAGGTGCGGGTGGGAGAGGTGGGGGTGGGAGAGGTGGAAGAGGTGGGGGTGGGAGAGGTGGAAGAGGTGGGGGTGGATGAGATGGGGGTGGGAGAGGTGGAAGAGGTGGGGGTGGGAGAGGTGGGGGTGGATGAGGTGGAAGAGGTGAGGGTGGATGAGATGGGGGTGGATGAGGTGGAAGAGGTGGGGGTGGATGATATGGGGGTGGAAGAGGTGGAAGAGGTGGGGGTGGATGAGGTGGAAGAGGTGGGGGTGGATGAGGTGGAAGAGGTGGGGGTGGATGAGATGGGGGTGGGAGAGGTGGGGATGGATGAGGTGGATGAGGTGGGGGTGGGAGAGGTGGGGATGGATGAGGTGGAAGAGGTGGGGGTGGATGAGATGGGGGTGGGAGAGGTGGGGGTAGAAGAGGATTTGGAGAGGGAGGAGGTTGGTCTGGGGGTTAAGGAGGTGCACGGGGACAGGGCTCGTGTCAGCTGCGGAGGAAGTGGGCGGGGAGTGACAGATGGAGACGGAAGGTGGTTGTCGAAGGGAGATAGAAGGAGATGGGTGGGGGGGGGGGGATTAGGCTCGTGGCGGGACTGTGGCGATTTCAGTTCATTATAAGAGGGGATGGAGTGGATAAGGGGATGGATATGGATGAGGCTAGAGGAACGCAAGGAGGGGTTAGTTAAAACGCAATAAAAAGCTGGCGTAAATACTATATAATTTCCATCATTGACAATAATATATATATATATTTATACTATACTACTATATACTACTTTACCCAATTTTGTATTTGCCTCAACCTTCCGCGTTCATTAATTTTGATCATCAGTGCCATTAACTATCTCTTCTGTTTACTTGTTTATCTCATCCTTCCACCCACTTCGCTTTGACGCCCACGCCCGCCCTCCCGCAGGTACAAGCTCCACGGAATGGCGTGCGCCATGTTCGCCGTGAGCATTGTGTTCATGTCGCAGGCCGCCCGCCACGTGGGGGACCTCAAGCTGATGGAGGACGCGGCTCCTGCGTCAGATGTGGCCAGCGCCCTCTCCAGTGGGCCTCCTTCGCTCTTCTCCGAGTTCGCCGACGGAAAGGAGCCCGCGGAAGGAGGAAGGAAAGAAGGAGGACGAGGAATAAGCGAGAAAGATGGTAAGAATTTCTCCAGGGGCGTGGCGAAGAGGCTCTCCGGAAGGAGGAGGAGGGAGGAGGCGGAGGAGAACGGGCCAACGCAGCCTCCTCAGTGGAGAGTCGACGAGGGAAGGGAGGAGAGAGATGGGCTTGGAAGAGGGTACGGAGGAACAGAGGAAGGAGGAGTAGGAGGAAGGAGTGATGGAACTGGAGCAAGAAGAGAAAGAAGAGAAGGGGAGAGAGAAGATGGAAGAGGAGGAGGAAGAAACGGAAGGGACAGCTATCGACAAGTTACTCCTTATGCTTACCCAGGGGAAATGAGAAGGCCAGAGGAGGTACCACACGTACCAAGAAATGAAGTACCAAGGGACTTCTCGAGGTCGAGGCAGAACCCTCACATCCTGCCTTCCAATGTCATCAAAACCACCGGCGTGTGAGGACACCTAATTCAGGTCTCGATTCTCTCACTAATCGCAAAATGTATCATCTTGAATACTGATGCACCAAATGAAACTGTTCGTCAGGAATCGCTGAGTCACAAACTCCTCATATAAGACAGAAGTGGTGTCAAAGGACATTTGGATAGGACAGCTACAGCTCTTTGTTAACAATGCTTTGTGCAAAGTTCCGGTAATTCCCAGTTTCGGTTGAAAGAAAAGATGAAAGAAAGAAAGAAAAGGCAAAGTGTATAGAGGTTCTTTGAGATTTTAATGGTAATAAAACATTAAGAGCATCTCTTATGCCCAGTTCACACTATGTAGCCACCTAGTATAATATTTTGTAAAGGAAAATTATAGTAATTTTATGTGCACTTGTGAAATACTCTTGTATATTACATCCCACTACATCTTAATACCTATATTCATTCTTTATTCCACATAGATTTTTTTTTTCGAAAAAACTGAAGAATGTATTCCAAGAAAAAGGGAGTATATGAGCAAAGTTATTGTGATAAACGTAGAAAAGGTATGAATGAAAAGTTTATTCTTAACAGAAAAGTAAACGTCATCAGTTGCATCTCTTAATGAGTGAAGTTAACCATGCCGTTCATATCTTTTCCACAGGAGTTTGTTAAAGAAGCCCAAGGATTAATGCAAGAGTTTCGTCCGCAGAAAAAAAATGTGTTATACCTCTGCTATTAATGGCAATTGCATTTTACATGTTTATGTAGTTCTCATTCATCATTTTCAATAAAGTTAGCGTTTGTGTGTGTTAGTGTAATGATAGTAACCATTATTAGTCTTTATTTCCTATGGGATGATATGAATTAAAAATGTATAAATGACAAACGATGATAATGATAGAAATAATTTTGACAAGTTTGATAGTACCTATGTTTTAATAAATGAACTGTAAAATGACAACACGCACACACACACACACACACACACACACACACACACACACACACACACACACACACACACACACACACACACACGGGTAAGAGGAGGCGAAGGAATTTTAGTTTCAGTAGTAATGATTACGATATTTTCCATGATAAAGGCGATAGAGATGATCAAGCAATAGTTCTATAATTTACAGCCGATGAAGAAAAAAAATATTTCTATATCTACATATCTATGTCTATAACTATCTATTTGTCTGTCTATCTACATATCTATATCAATATCAATAAGCATACAAATATATGTCTATATCTATATTACTGTTACTATATTACTATATTTATATTATGATACTGTATTTTTTATTAGCTGTGGTCTTTCTTTTTCCTTTAATAGAAGAATTAAAATGATCTAATTAACACGTAGGTTATTTTCTTCTGTGATTTACATATGTAATTTTCAATTCTCTTGTTTCTTTTATGCCATTCCTGCTTTTCACATTTACTCATATTCAACCCATTGCCGCCGGGGAAAGTGAATAAAAAATGGGGAAAATGCTGTGCTCATTTTTAATATTTTTGTGAAATGTCTCTACACATAGATGGCTCTGCCTTACCTGATTTCACCTTTCCTTGAATTAGCGAGAAAATATATTTTTTACTAGTGCTATTAATATCGATGGTGTTATTTTTAACATTTTCCACACACTCGTGGTCGAAACTCTGTTCGAGCGAACAGAGTTATAAACACAAAGTAATAAACACAAAATCTTGTGCCATTAGAGCTACCCTGGAGCCCGGGGCCTCTAGTCTCGCATGATATTGTTATTTCTGTGTTCTAAAGTAAATAAAATAAAGTAAAATCCTGTAATTACAGATCATTATAGTGCTTTGTTAGCACCTTCAGTGCTTTGTTTTTGCAGGTGACACGAGGCAGTAGGCCTAGTCAGCACCCCACCTCAGACCCGCAGCTCTCTTCTACACCAGGGTAGCCCTTGTGGCTTTGACCCCTGGGTAGGGAGGCCCAGTAGTCTGGGGCGTCATTTGGGCGCACTTTTTCTTATTTTCTAATTTCTCTTCCTCATAATGTGACTTCCCTGAGCCTACCGGAGTTCCTCGGAACTCCCGTATTCGCTTGGGGGGTGGGCAATGAATTACCGTCCTTAGCCTAGGCAAGTTCGGCGGTAAGGATGTGTCCCACACATAACTCGATCCCTCTGTGGTACTGGAGAACGCAGCCAGGCTTCCACTGGGGGGAGTAGAGGACGTTTTACTGCCTTACTCTCTTAGCTATTGCTGTTAGGTTGATACCAAAAGTTAAGAGTTTTTGATCCCTTCAGGACAACATTTGTGGGACAAGGGGTCGGACCTGGTCCGATACCCAGTATGAGTGATACCCCGGCTACCCCATCTCCTCAAGGAGGGGGGGGGGCGACTCAAGACCCCTCTATGACCAATCTGACGACGAACAATGGTACCCCCACTAATGACAAAACGAGACGACCACTTTTCAAAATCCCCACCCAGAATGTAAAATGCGTGAATGAAAATCAATCGCTTTTGAACATGAGCCCCTTTATCATCAAAAAGGTCCTTGATGGTCAAGTGGACGGCAATTTTGATTTTGTCAAAAAATTGCGAGATGGAAGCCTCCTTGTTAAAGTACAATTCAACTCCCATATTAAGGATTTACTTAAGCTGATGCAAATTCATGATCTTCGAGTTAAAGTAACTATTCCTATTGGCCCAAATACCTATAAGGGAGTAATCTTTCACAGGGATTTGAGGACGATGGAAGAAAGTCAAATTCTCGAGAGCATGAAGGACCAAGACGTAGTGGACGTTCATTGTATGACCAAGAAGGACGGGAATATGCGAACGAAAACAGGACTGTGTTTTTTGACCTTTGCCTTGAATAAAATCCCTGAATATGTCAATGTCGGTTATGACCTTATGTCCAAAAGCCAATGCATTGTAATAGATGCCAAACATTCGGACACCTCATTAAGATGTATTGATAAAGACTCTACTATATTTACTTCCCGTAAATGTGCTGAAGCCCATGACACCATCACATCTACTAGCCAGATTTCCAAATGTGCTAACTGTGGAGGTCCCCATCAGTCAGGATCTGCTGAGTGCAGCATCCTGAAGAAGGAGACTGAAACATTAGCATATATGAGAAAGCATGAAGTTAGTTATACTGAAGCTAAGAGGAAAGTTGAAAGTTTGACACAAACCTGATATTTCCTATGCTGCAGCACTAACTAACAACACCCTTAGTGCAAGGGATGTCCGTCAACAGCTTGCAGCTAAACATAAAGAGATTGCTGAACTGAAACAAACCGTTAAAGAATTGAACATTAAAGTATATCAATGGACTAAATTGGTCGATCAAATGGCTGCATCGACCCGTATCTGGCTATATGTTGTTTATTGTCCACCTGACACAGTGATAATCTATGATGAGCTCTTTGCTCTTCAGGAACGTCTGCCACAAAATAAAGTAATTTTAGGTGATTTCAATGCTCATCATACGTTATGGGGTTCCCTGCGGGTGGATGGTAGAGGTGAACAAGTAGTTAGGTTGATTAATGAGTCTGATCTAGTCCTTCTGAACGACGGTAGTCCAACGCGGGTGGACGATAATACCGATAATTTGAGCTTTATTGACCTATCACTGGTCTCTTCATCAGTAGCAGCTAAGTGCCTGTGGCACACCATTGACGACTCGTTGGGAAGCGATCACCTTCCTATTTTGATTGAATATTCATGCGACACAGTAAGAACGCCTTCAGCGCCTAAATTTAACGTAAAAAGAACAGACTGGGTCGCCTTCACAAGGAGCGTCATACTCGAACTCGTTGGAGAAACCATTGATGATAAAGTAAACAATATTCAGAATTCGATTATAGAAGCAGCTTTGCTATCCATTCCTAAAACTTCGACAGATAGCGTTAAGCATAGAGTTCCATGGTGGACACCAGATTGCCGCAGGGCGCTGTGCCGACGCAATAAGGCCTAAAAGCTAAAAGAGACTCCTGGCGAAGCTTTGTGTTTACAATAAACAGTAACACAAAAACATCAGAGGTTTGGTCCACTATCAATAAAATCAATAAGAAAAAAACATCTTTCAAAATTAAAAACATCATTGACGAGGGCAATAACATCGATTCACCTAGAGACATTGCTAATGAACTTGCCAGGCAGTTCTCTCATACAAGCAGCTCAGCAAACTATCATGCCGCCTTCCTGCCCATTAAGGAAGCGGCTGAGCTGCAACCTATTCACTTTGCCACAGGAGATGACCTTGATTACAATAAAGATCTTACAATAGATGAGCTTGTCCGAGCCCTAGAAGCCTGTAGAGGAACATCCCCAGGCCCCGATGAGATTCTATATGAGATGATAAAGCATCTTAATCATGGTGACATGATTAAGTTGCAAGAAGTATACAATGAAATTTGGAAAAGCCACACTTTTCCAAACTCATGGCACTTCGTCCACATCATTCCCATATTGAAAGAAGGGGGTAATCCCAAACTTGCCATCTCCTACCGCCCAATTGCGTTGACAAGTTGCTTATGCAAGGTCAAGGAACGAATTGTTAACAGTAGGCTATTGCACTTTTTAAATTCCAGTCATTTGCTAGTTGACGAGCAGTGCGGTTTCCGAAAGGGACGCCAAACTCTCGATCAACTAGTAAAGCTGGACAGTCATATTCAAGAGGCCATTGCCAAAAAAAGATTATTTAATTTCAGTATTTTTAGATATAAAAAAAAACTACAACATGACATGGCGATATGGCCTACTCAGAAAACTTTATGCTTTTGGATTACGTCGAAACTTGCCTTGGTGTCAAATTATTTTCTGACAATGTCACTTTTTCGGACATTTTTGTCTAGGCAAACGGGGTCTCACAAGGAAGTGTCTTGTCACCAACATTATTTCTATGTATGATAAATGACATCTTACCAGCTCCTCCTCGGAATCTTAAATACTCACTGTACGCTGATGATTATGCATTATGGCACTCCAGCAATAATGCAGAATTCTCAGCAAATCACACCCAATTGGCACTGGATATGATTCATAACTAGGGCCTCCAGTGGGGTTTTAAGTTTTCCATTAGAAAGAGTATTGGGGTAATTTTTTCACATAGGAAATGTCCGAACATTAGGCTAACTCTAGACAACCACCCAATACCAATTCAAAATTCTGCTAAATTTCTTGGGCTACTTTTTGATAGTAGACTCAATTAGAATGACCACATTGGTCAGTTAAAGAATAAATGTCAAAGAGCAATAAATTTATTAAAGTGCATTTCTGGTAATAAATGGGGAGCTGATAGACAGTCTTTGCTAATGATATATGAAGCCCTGATTAGGTCTAAAGTAGATTATGGGTCAATCGCGTATGGTTCGGCATCGAGAACAAGTTTGAAAGGTTTGGATGCTGTGCA